TCTACAAGAGCAGTTAGAGGACTGTTAATGTATAATAGAAGTTTGCAGTGTATAATAGTTGAATTATATTTTGTTATAACAAACCTGGATCTCTTATTCTTATTTTTGAATATGTATGGTTGAAATTTTGACCCTACATATTGGGTCATAAGCATTCACTTAATGAAAATGAGAGTTAGAATTCTTTATTCTTTTTTTTTTTGGCTTAAAAATTTTTTTTAGTGCTTATTGATTTTTGAGAAAGAGAGAGACAGACAGACAGAGCATGAGCAGGGGAACAGAGAGAGGGAGACACAGAATCTGAGGCAGGCTCCAGGCTCTGAGCTGTCAGCACACAACTCACGTGGGCCTTGAACTCACAAACTGCAAGATCATGACCTGAGCTGACCTTGGACTCTTATCTAAGCACCCCCCGCCCCCCACCGCCGGGCACTCTGAGAATTAGAATTCTTAGTACCACTCTTCAAGGAGCTTTAGAGGCAATTCTTTTTGTTTCCTTTAATGTCATCCCATATATTTTTTTTTTAATGTTTTATTTATTTTTAGGAGAGAGATAGAGACAGACAGCGTGAGCAGGGGAGGGTCAGAGAGAGAGGGAGTCACAGGCTGAAACAGGCTCCAGGCTCTGAGCTGGCAGTCAGCACAGAGCCCGACGCAGGGCTCGAACCCACGAACCGTGAGATCATGACCTAAGCGAAAGTCGGACGCTTAACCGACTAAGCCACCCAGGCGCCCCTGTCATCCCATATTTTTGATACATGTGCTCTTTCTGTAAACTGCCTTGATAGGGCAGTACAGTAGAATACAAGTCACCATACAAAATTTAAATTCTCTCAAATCTGTGTGAATTATATTCCTATATATGTTTTAAATGTAATTTGCATTTCCCATTTCTATTTCTAGGACACAAACTTGTGAAGACAAGGTCTTTACATTACTTATTCTATTTTGTACCAGGCAGGTTTTAGATGGACAAATAATGTTATCATAATGAGAAGATTAATAATCCTTGAACCATATTTTTTAACTAAATTTGTTGTTTTTTGGTAGTAGTGTTTTGTTTGCTTATTTTACTTAGAATGTACAGAAGATAGATGTTTGTGTGTTGCAATGTTTGGAAAAGAAAAATAAAAAGCCCAATTTTATTCTTACTAACTTGGAACAGATTAAGCAAGGGAGAAATAAAGCTGATGAAGGCAGCCTTTCAATGGAACTTTGTTAGCTGCAAGAAGACCTGAGAGTTGGAAGGTACAACAAATCATGACCACTAAATAGACTCACGCATTTAAAAATCAGTATGTCATCGTCAGTAACCAGAATAAAATTTAGTTGAGGTTTCTGGTCGGCTCAGTTGGTAGGGTATGTGACCCCCCGGTCTTGGGGTTGGGAGTTTGACCCCGCAATGGGTGTAAAGATTACTTAAAAATAAAAAACCCTTGGGGCACCTGGATGGCTCAGGCAGGTAAGCCTCCAACTTGGGCTCAGGTCATGATCTTACAGTTTGTGAGTTCAAGACCATCGTTGGGCTCTGTACTGACAGCTCAGAGCCTGGAGCCTGCTTCGGATTCTGTCTTTGTCTCTTTCTGCCCCTCCCTTGCTCATGCTCTGTCTCTCTCTCTCTCTTAAGAATAAATAAAATTTTTTTAAAATAGAAAATCTTAATTTTTTTTTAAAACTTGGTTGGATTTTCTTAAGCATTTAACTGCCACATTATGACACAATCCTGCACATTCTGTGCTTTTTATTCTCTTTTTAAAAAATATTTTATTTAGGGGCGCCGGGTGGCTTAGTCGGTTAGCGTCCGACTTTCGCTTAGGTCATGATCTCGGCGGTTCGTGGATTCGAGCCCCGTGTCGGGCTCTGTGCTGACTGCTAGCTCAGAGCCTGGAGTCTGTGTCAGTCTGTGACTCCCTCTCTCTGACCCTCCCCTGCTCACGCTGTCTCTCTCTCTCTCTCTCTCTCCTAGAAATAAATAAAACATTAAAAAAATATTTTATTTTTTAAAAAATAAAATATTTTATTTTTTTAAGTAATCTCTATACCCAACAGGGGGCTCAAACTCATAACCCCGAGTTGTATACTCTATTGACTGAGCCAATCAGGCACTCTTCTAATGATTATTTGTATTTTGATTTTTTAAGTTCATGTTTCTTAAACAGTTTCATTAGCAAAAATTTCAAAAAAGATTCAACAATATTAAGGGGACTTTTGTATTATCAGCCTTTGATTTTTACCTTTTTTCAGGGAAAAGGATGATTTCATTATTTTTTATGCTGTTATTCTTATTTCACAAAGAATAACCATGTGTATGAGAATTACCTGAAACTGAAAACTGCAGATCTCCAAGTCAAATTCTCAAATCAAATAATGATTTCATCCCTGAGGTCTCGATCCAACAATCTGCATTTTTAACAAACACCATAGATGATTTTTCTCGGTAAAGTTTGGGAACCAGTGGTGTAAGTGATTTTTAGCTTCTCTAACAGACCTAAGATTTCGAAGACTAATTGATATAATGGCTGATTTGTGAACATTTTCTAGTTGAACCCCAGCTAATTTAAACAAATGAAAGATTTATTGTGAAAAATGACAAAACCACTGCAAAATAAATTTCAAGTTGTTGCAGGATTTTTTTTTTAACCTCAGTACCCGGGTTTCGCTGTCTCGCTACTTCAGAGAATGAAGAGGTGGACACAACATGAGCAGCAGGCAAAGGTTTATTGGAGTATACGATCAGAAAGAAGAGTAGTAGGAAAGCTCTCTTTACAGAGAGGGGACATTCAAAGTGATGCCTTAGGACTATAGGCAAGGGTCCTTGTATACGGTTCTGGTCTCTCCCCTCCCCTTCCCACCTGTTCCTTCTTAGGTCCTACGCTTATTGGCCAGACAGCTCTCGGCGCGGGGTTGTCCATTCCTGATTGGCTCGTTTCCACTGTATGAGAGCTGGTCTATGGCCGTACCATTCCTCGTGGGTCATATGTTTTATGGTCTACTACTTATTTTTTTTAGTCAGGTTTTTTGTCAAATTCCGAGGGTAACCTGAGGGGTGGTAGGTGGGGTCTGTTACATTCTGAAGAAGGACATTAAGCCTGAGGGATTTGCTGTGGTCAGACACTCCCAGCATTGTTCCAAAATGGGTGTTTTTCCCCACCAAGGGACCTCAGGTCCAAATTATTTCTCTCTCTGCCTGTTTTATCCTGTTTTTTTTTCCCTATCATAAAGTGACCTATTAGAATTAAAAGCTTTTTTAAAAACCTTTAAAAACTGATATTTAAAAAAAAAACTATTTCCAAAATTACCAAAATAGCTTTTATAAAGTAACACTACATGCTATGGAATGAATTGTGTCTCCCCCAAATTCATATGTTAAAGCCTTAACTCCCAGTGTATTTGAGGAGGTAGCCTTTGGAAGGAATTCCGTTTAGATGAGGTCATGTTAGTAGGGCCCTCTGGTTGGGATTAGGGTTCTTGTAAGAGACACCAGAGACCTTGCTTGCTCTTTCTGTCTCTGCCTTGTGAGGACATGGGTCTGTAAGCCAGTAAGAGAGCTCTCACTAGAACCTGACCATGTTGTCACCCTCATCTTGGACTTCCCAGCCTTCAGGGCCTGAGAATTACTACAGTACTTTTGTTACGGCAGCCTTATAAGGCACGACATAAATGTAAGGGTTTTTTTTTAAATAACAATAATTTTATTTCTTATCCATTCCCATCCCAGCATCTATGGAATCGATGGCAGAACGTTGACTTCAGGTTAAAACTAAAACCTTCTTAGTAATAGTTTTTAATAAAATTAATTTGCAAAACTTGTCATTGATTTTGCTAATGTCAAATCACACATGAGAAGCCGTTTACAGATAAATTGTTCAGCTTTTTTAGTTGAAGTTTTTCATGTCTTCAGATTGTTAATTTCAAATTTTGCTTTTGTTTGCTTATAGATTTCTTGGATTTTTGGTTTAAAATGAAGACTGATTATTAATAAAGTTCTGTACCTATGAATAGGAAACATAATTTTTTATTATAAGTGGTCTGTATAGTTTTACTTGTTAATCTCTTTGTCTGAACATTTCATTTTAGTGAGCCGTTTTGGCTAGCTTACTCTTATTTTAAATTAAATAAAATCTTGCATGAAGCTTTCTTAATTATTGGCATATAGAATTTCCATGAACCTAATATGTATTGAGCATATATTCCAAGTGTTATGAAAAAAACTCATTTAAAATTTAGACCTGATTCCCAAAAGTGTGAAATCGAATGACAACGATTTTTTTTTAAACTCAGAATTGTGTGTCATATCATTTACCAGAAATGATTTGGGCTATCACCGAAGCACAAAAACCAATGAGCTGTATTCATTGCAATGAATACATACAATGTACTGTATTCTAAGTAACAGAGTACAATTTGATTCCGATAAACACTGTTCTAAATGCAGGAGACATGGGATCCAGTTTTGAGTCTGGCAATTCACTCGCTCTGTCACTACACTTCAGTTTCTCTACCTACCAAGTTAAGGCCTGGGGACTGATTGCTGATGAGGACAAAACCCTAACTCCAGGATTTTGCGTTTCCTGCATTACAAATCTAAAATATGATCCACTGAATAAATAGATCTATCGATCTATTGAATAAAACCCTGCACTTGGGCCGAGTCACTGAAATGTTTGCAAAGGACTTTAAAGCTCGGCAAGAGCGCTCAGCAGAGAATACCCAAAGACGAAGAGCGACCCGAAGCTGATGTCCCGCGGAGCCAACCAACTTCACCGCTCGGCGGCTAACGGCCACTGGGCACAGCGATTTTCTGCCGCAGCGAGTCCTCGCGTCCTCCCGAGGCGGCTGCGGGAGGTCGTCCTTCCTCCGGGGAGCTCACGATCCGCAGCGAGGCGAGGGGGAGCCGCGGTCACAGACGCTCCCCCTCCTCCCGGCGCGCTCCTCCTTCCCACAGAAAAATGCGTTTCCAGGCAACCGCGGGCCGCGGCGTCACTTCCTGCCATTTAAACTCGGGTCCCCACCCCTCGCTGCCCCTTCTCTGCGCTTCCACTCCCCCTCCCCTCGGTCGTGGGCTTCATTCACGCTTGCCGGGACTTGGGGAGGGGGCGGCGGCCCCGCGCGCCCAGCCGCCGCGAGTCCGGTGGGCGCCGCGCGCGCACCTGTTGTCTGCAGGGCCCGCGACCCTCCGTCCAGCCCTCGGCCGGCGGCGGCGCGGCAGCCGCTGCAGAGCCGGCCCGGCAGGTGGCCGCGGGCGGGCGCGGACGAGCCGCCGGGCGCGGGGGCGCGATGGCGGCGGCGGAGCCCGCGGGCTCGGGCCAGCAGGCGCCGCAGGGGCAGGGGCAGGGCCCGCGGGCGCCGCCGCAGCCTCCGCAGGCGCAGGCTCCGCAGCCGCCGCCGCAGCTCGGGGGCGGCGGGGGCGGCAGCAGCAGGCACGAGAAGAGCCTGGGGCTGCTCACCACCAAGTTCGTGTCGCTGCTGCAGGAGGCCAAGGACGGCGTCCTGGATCTCAAAGCGGTGAGCGCGGGAGGCGGGGATGGGGGCGGACGAAGATGCCCACGGCCCCGGAGAAGCCCACCCCCTTGAAGCGCGGGGCGGGCGGCGTGGTGTGGAAGCGCCCCGCGGGGACCTGGCGACCCCCCCCCCAGAGCGAGGGCCATGTGGCCGCTGCCCGGGCCCCGGACTTCGGGAGGGAGGGGGAGGGACCAGGGGCCGGGGTGGCCCGGCCGGGCCGCACGACCAATGGGGCCCGGCGCCGCTCGCGACAAAGAGCTAAGGACCCGGAGCGCGCCCGCGTGGCCTCCGCCGGCGCTGGAACCCGAGGGCGCCCGAGTGTCCTCGCTGCTCCGCGTCCACCTGTGGCAGAGGCGCGGGGCGGGGACCCTGGCACTTTGCCTGGAGACACCTGGGGATTGCTTTTGCTGTTGGGAATGGATGGTTTTAATAGGCTATTCTAGTTGAGACCGTGTTCCCGTTGTTCAAAACAAAACAAAAAACCCGATTTTGCCACCTCTTCCAGATGAAAGAAAGAAAAAAAGAACTTTCCACACTCATTCCCTTTGAAATAATAATATTAATTAAAAAAAAAAACCAACCTGTTCTTTGTACACTCTTTTATCATCCTGATTGGCGGGGGGGGGGGAATATTTGATTTTTAACTTAATTTTGTATCTGATACAGATTTCTAAAAGTGAGGTTTCTCATCGCAGAAAAAGGGGATGTTTTATAGCTTTCCCTCAAAGAAGTGGAAGCGCTCAGTAAACTCTCCTGTTTCTTGAGAACGTGTGCTTCCGTCTTTTATTACAACTCAGACTTTTCAAACAACAACATGCATCAAAAGCTGTTGGGTTAAACAAAATGACTTAACTGTTCCAGGCAGGATTTGGAAGGATTCCACAACGCTAAGGACAGGAGAATGTGATTACTTGAATTAAAATTCAACCAAGTACCCCAAGTTTAAGAACCAAAGCTTTAAAAACAGAAATCACTGCAGACCTCTCCTAGGCATTTCCCCGATATCTGAAGTCTGATTTTACACTGATGATTGGTCCCAACAACGAGGGGAGTGTAGGTGGGACCACCTTACCTGGCTTGAAGTGTGACGGAGATCGTCAAGGCTGTGCCCAGATCAAGAGAAGCGTCACCTGAGAGCATATAGAAAGCTCTACTGCAGAAGTACTGCCTGGAGGTAGAGAGGAAGGCTCACGGTAGCCCCGGTGCTGTTTCTCAGACAAGGCTCTTTTCTTTCCCTGAGCACAGTAGGTGTTTTTTAAGTGATCCCTGAATTAAATTATCTGGATTCAAATGAGGCATGATGTGTGCATTTTGCATTTTGGGAAGTAGTTTCTACTATCTTCTTTTGGAAGTGTTACTCCTGGAGTTTCCCCCCAACTCTGGAAATTCCTTGTTCTTTCTACAGCCTCTTCCTCCCTTGCTTCCTCCCTAAATGTGCTTTAAGGCATATATAGTACAGCTTGTCAGGAACTTAAATGGATTTGGTTTAAAGGATCTCAAAGGATGCTATGAGGTCATCAGAGAGAGCCATAGTTGTTACAAAACATGGCTTGCGAACTATCCTTCAAAATCTAGACATTCAGTTGTATCTGGAATTTACTCTGTAAATGGACTGTGCTTTCTGTAGAGGGAATCAAGGAAGTTTGGGGTTTTCCAGATACAGCTGCACTCTGAGAGTTTAACTTTGAGGGCTTCTTTCTCAACTCACCTGGCAAAATGATGGAACTTTGCATTACTTGCTTTCAAATTCTTAGGCTTCCACCTGTTTCATCTGTGGCCATTGAATTGTTCTCCAGAAGTCACAGAGGCAGTGAAGTGAGTAGAGAGTGGAGTTTAACAGTTCATAACATTGTTTCATTCATCCTGGAACTTTCTTTAAAAGTTTCAAAGATTTCTGCAGTAACATTATGTCTCTTTATATCCGTGATTTTTTTACTCCTAAAGAGCACTTTGAGTATCTTTCTTTTTCACACATGTATGAAAAATACACATATTTCGTTCATTAACATATATTTTTCAGTTATTTACATATATGTGTAAAATCTTGTAAAAATCTTACAGTGAAATCTTTCCAGTGATGCTTCTTGCTATGAACCATGACATACACTACTGAAAAATAAGAACATAATGCTCTATATTAGTGATGCATTTCTTCTTCATAATGTAACGAATTGAGGAGGTAGCCTAATAAAGCAAATAAGTTCTAATAAAGCTGTTCAAGTATAACTTAACAATCAGAAGGGATTAGAAACACCATGAAAGTGGTTTGAGAAACTTATATCTCTTTCTCACACCACGTAGTCTCATTTATAAAAGTGGGTACAATAGTCACATCTCTTTTTTTTTTTTTAAATGTTTTATTTATTTCTAGGAGAGAGAGAGAGAGATAGCGTGAGCAGGGGAGGGTCAGAGAGAGAGACAGTCACAGACTGAAACAGGCTCTAGGCTCTGAGCTGGCAGTCAGCACAGAGCCCGACGCGGGGCTCGAACCCACGAACCGCGAGATCATGACCTAAGCGAAAGTCGGACGCCCAACCGACTAAGCCACCCAGGCGCCCCTAGTCACATCTCTTTATTCCAGTGAGATGGCACATTATCTCATGCTCCTCTCAAGCTTTATCTGGTTTGCCAGTTTATGCTGTTAATAGCTAGCATTTATTGAGAGTTTGTTCCAGTCTTAATTAATTAATATTAATTAATAATATTAATATTATTGTCTTAACAACTTGGAAACTTGGTCCTAACATCCCCATTTCACAGATGAGAAGACTGATACTGATATGTTAAGTAACTTGCCCATAATCATGCAGTAGAAAGTGGCAGCTAAGATTCGAAAGTAGACCATTTTTCTTACTGTCTATGCTGTAATTCTTTTAGTATTCCTTAAAACAAAATAAAAAAAAAAATCTTCTCATTTACGTTTTTCATCTGGGTAAGAACACAGAATGCTTCTTGTAATGAAAAACACATGATTATTTTTATCCCTCTACCCATGACAGAAGAGAAAGGTATTGAGCTACTACTTGAAAAGTGAAGGTATTGATGGCAAATTCCACATGATTTTACAAATTAAACTAGGATTCTACTTTTCCAGAAGTAAGAATTTAAAGAACTGTTAAGTTAGTCAGAACTGTCTATATGTTGTTTTGCAAATTCCTATTAAATGTAATTTCTGAGTTTCCTTACTTGCCATTTTGGCACTTGAACTTTTTAAAGCATGATTAAGATTGCTTATCTTTTATTATAATGATGTTACTAATTGCAGGAGCCCTAGGTTAAAATGATAAAGTGTTTATGTTTCTTATCTCACAGATCCCTGACTCATACCCATTTATGATTAGCTAATTAATATTTGTCCCAGATGAAATGAATAATTTAACATCTTAGTCTGTGACATAAAGCAAAGATTTCGTGTCACAGAATAAATCTGGAATTAGCCTGAGTAAAGATATATTAGTAGTACAGCCAGAACTTTGGTGCATGCTTAAAAATTCTCAGGACACTTTCACTTCTAAGTGTATAGCCCCAAGATTTGGAAACCAGGTCTTAAACAGATACTTATATACCCCATGTTCATAGCAGCATTACTCACAATAGTGAAAAGATCGAAGCAATACAAGTGTTTATCAAGAGATGAGTAAATAAACAAAACGTGATATGTACATACAATGGAAGATTATTAGCCTTAAAAAGGAAGGAAATTCTCACACATGCTACAGCACAGATGAACCTTGAAGACATTATGCCAGTTACAAAAAGATAAATACTGTATAATTCCTCTTGAATGAAGTAACTAGGGTAGTCAAGTTCATAGAGACAGAAAGAAGAGTGATTGCCAGGGGCTAGGAGGAAGGGGAGAGAGGGAAGTTGTTAATGGGTCGACGCATTATGGGCTGAACTGTGTCCTCTCAAAATCCATATGGTGAAGCCAGAATTGTCAGTACCTCAGGACGTGACTGTATTTGGAGATAGGGCCTTTAAAGAGATGATGAAGTTAAAATGAAGTCATTGGGATGGGCTCTCATCTGATCAGAATAGTGTTCTTAGAAGAAAGGAGATTTGGACACAGATGCCAAGATGTATGTCCACAGAGGACACAATGAGAGGGTGGCCATCTGGAAGCCAAGGAGAAGAGCTTTATAAGAAGCCAAACTGGTGAACAGCTTGATTTTGGAATTTTAGCCTCCAAAACTGTAAGAAAATAAATTTCTGTTGTTTAAGCCACCCAGTCTGTGGTCTTTTGTTACAGCAGCCCCAGCAAACTAATACTATGGATTTGGAGTTGGGCAGATGAGAAGAGGTGTGGAGTCTGGTTGCATGTCAGTGTGAATGTACTTAAAACTACTGAAATGTACACTTAAAAATGGTTAAGGTGATAAATTTTATACCACATGTATTTTACCAGAATTTTAAAAACATGTAAAACAACAACAGGATACTACGGACATACCTACTAGAATGGCAGAATAACACAAAACACTAGCCATACTGGATGCTGGTGAGAATGTGGGGCAACAGGAGCTCTCATTACTGGTGGGAATGCAAAACGGTACAGACCCCTTGGAAGACCGTTTGGCAGTTTTAGGAAACTAAACACAGTCTTCCCATATGATCCAGCAATCATACTACTTGGCATTTACCCAAATGAATTGGGAACTTATGTCTGCCTGCATATGGGTGTAGATAGCAGGTTTATTTATAATTGCCAAAACTGGGAAGTAACTAAGATATCCTTTGGTAGGTGAATGGATAAATAAACTGGCATGTTCAGACAGTTGACTACCATTCAATGTTAAAAAAAAAAAAAAAAAAGCTCTCAAGCCATAAAAAGACATGGAAGAACTTGAAATGTATATTACTTAGTGAGAGAAGCTGATAGGAAAAGGCCATATACTGTAAAATTCTGACTTTATAACTTTCTGGAAAAGGCAAAGAGATCAGTGGTTGCCAGAAGTGAGAGAGCAGAGCACAGAGAATGGTTAGTGTAATGGAACTACTGTGTA